TATACACACACATATTGTACCTACATACATACAACATGCATGCATGCATACCATACATCTCTCTCTCTCATATATATATACATACACACATATACGCATACATACACACATATACATATATACATACACACACACACATACATGGGCTGCGCTGTGGGTCCTTGTGCCCTCCGAGCTTGGTTGTTTTCTTGAAGACGTTTATTTTGTTGTTCATTCCCCCATTTTGCAAATTCCGCTCTCTTGTAGTAGCCCTGAAGAAGATACTTAGTGGGGTAATGAAACGCCTGCAAGAAAAATCCGCCAAGCTGGAGAGAGAGCAGCGAGGATTCCAGGTGTCCTTGGAGATTCTCCGTCATCCAGCTCATGCTTTGTCTCAAAGGTGCTTTTTCAAAGGGCAACTGGACTTTGTTTTTCTTTGAAGACGTTTCGCTTCCCATCCGAGAAGCTTCACCCGTTCTTCTGATAAAGCTGCTTGGATGAGATGTGAAGCATCTTCCTCAAGGGAAAAACAACATAGTCGCCTTTTGAAAAAGCACCTTTGAGACGAGATCTCCACAATTCACCCCCGAAGTGTATATTTCTCCTTCTGTTGGAAAAAGAAAGTTTCTGTCTTTTCTTTAAACAGAGTTGAACTCTCCACCTTGGTGAAGGGACCCATTTTCCCCTGAGTTTTGAATTGCAACCTGGTTGGGATAACTTTTAGCATGGGCTCCCTCTGTGACAAGTCAAACTTGAACAGTTTGTAAGGATGTAAGGAAGGGATTGCACCAAAGGGACATGTTTTCCTTTTCTATCTTTCCTTCTTTCGGGCTTCCTCTTTGCCCTTTCTTGATTGCCTTGTTTTTCTTCCAAGCTAGATGACTCAGTGCTTAAAGTGCAGTGGTTTATTATGGTCTGTAGCTGAAGGATGATCTTTTTGCAATACTTCTCTCTGTTGGACGTAATTCCTTTTTTGACTTTTGGGGAATTATGTTTGGTAAATATCATTCCGAAGACCTTGCGTCAGCAAATTAAATGCTTTGTATCAGGATGTTGAAATAGGTACACTTAAAAAGATGGAGACGAAAGGTACAGGCTAAAATGAGAGGAATGTTAAATATAGTTGAAACAATCAGACAAGTATTGTTACGTGAAAGAATAAAAGCAGTTTTTGAAAGTGGAACACAGTATAAGTAGTAATTAAAAAAAAGAAAATCCTAGAATAGATTATACCCTTTGTCAGAAGCTCAAATTCTCATGTTGACAGGAAATACCTGTAGGTATATCAGAGGAACTGTATTTTTAAAACTAAAACACTTTTGTTAGGGGAAGCAGCCTCAAGCTTGCTTTTAGTAGCAACTGATATAAATTCTTTGACATTGAAATGTATAGTTTTGCTTTGTTATAATTGTTCCGTTTTAATTTCATGGTACTCTAATACAGTCACGATTTGTCTCTTCTAGAAATGTGCTTATCTTTTTTTTTAACTATGCGTGTATGGAATACTACTACTTTCTATTT